GAGTTTGAAAAATATCTGTGTAGACTGCATATTAAACCACCTCCCTGTTGTAAAGTTCACTTCACAGTTAAACATTTAGTTTTACATTCCAGTGACTTCCTGGTGTATCCACAGTTGTTACCTTTTGTCTCATATGTTTGGTAATTTTTCTTCATCTGTCTCCTGTCCAGGCAGTGCCATTGTCTGAGTGTAAGGACAGTGTGGTTGGCGGGGTGTTGAAGGTGTTACTCCACGCCCTCACCTGCAACCAGAGTAGCACTTTCCTCTCTCACACCTTCAGCACACTCAGAGCGCTTGTTGTCAAGGTACTGTCATTATGATTTGTGTGTTTGTGTGTTTGGTGAAGATTTAGAAGGAGTTGTGTGGGTGGGTGTATATACACAAACATTATCTGTGTCTAAATTAAATGTTCTTATTTGCTTGTGGGGGTGGTAACCTGCTGATACAAGCTTGAATAATTTGTGTGTATATGCGTGTGTCTGTGTATACCACCTTGCGTGTCTGGTTTCATTTATCTGTATGTTTGTGTGCAGTTTGGGGACCTGTTGTTTGAGGAGGAGGCGGAGCAGTGTGCGGACCTGTGCCAAAAGGTGCTTCAGTACTGCAGCAGCCCTGTCGATGAAAACAGGAGCCAGGCCTGTGCAACCCTCTACCTCATCATGAGATACAGCTACAGCAATGCCAGTGTAAGCACATACACACACACACACACACAAACACACAGAAGATGATCCTGTGCATATGCTCCAGTGGGTTGTAAGGACACACATAGAAACGCCTACACAAAGCAAATGTCATGCATGTGTTACCTTTCTGTCAGATAAAACATTATTTAACATCTAAGCTTTCAGAAGAAATTGCAGTTATGTCAGATTTAATTTATTTTAAGTGCACATGAGAGTTCAGAATTGCTTATGATGCATGTTCTCATGAACACACATTGAAGACATCTTATCCTATCTTCTCCACTCTTCCTCTCCTGCTCGGCTTTAATGTCTTTTCCATGTCTATTTTGAGCGTGCTGCAGAAAGTTTTTGCTGAAGGATGTGTCTCTGAGTAGAGAGCAGAGAGATATGTCACTGTCTGCCTCCCTATGTTCCAACCCCTCTTTAACTAATGACAGCCAGACCTCTGTGTGTGTGTGTGTGTATGTGTGTGTGTTTCAATACATATGTGTGAATGTTTAAGTATATGGGCCTCAAGGGCAGGGAGAGAATGTGAAAGGGGCGGAAAGGAGGAAGTCACGATGGAGATATAGGAGTGTTTTTGCCAGAGGGGAAGCAATGATGGAGGGAAATAAAAAGATTGACAAGAGACAGATCTGAAGGAAGGTTCGTTTAGGATCGAGTATCTTCTTTCATTTTCTCTGCTTGTTCGATAACTGCTGTTGCAGTCGATATTTCCTGTGTTTACAGTCTGTCCGCGTTAATGAAAGTCAGACATCAGCCTGTGGAGAACACTGGCACACACGCACGCACACACACACACACACACACACACACAAGTATTTCCAGTTTAAAGAGAGCATTTCCCATCTGCGTGTCCCGGCATATGTTTGTTTATATGGTGTATACAGAGGGAGCTGTGATCTGAATTAGCGTAGCAGCCGTATGACTCATTTGCACAGAACTTACTACCTCTTCCTTTGTTTATGTTTTCATCCCTTCATCCACCCTCGTCTTGCTCTGTGTCTGTCACACACACTTCCCCCCCCTCTCCATCATTTACTTTGATTTAAGATTATTGTAATACAAAGAGAAAATACCAGGCTTTATTTCTAGAAACGGACAAATGAAACAAATGACTAAAAACAAATTCCTGTGGTTAAAACTTGTCCAGTTATTGAAAGGTTTGAAAGAAAGCGAAAGGAAAAAGGGCAGATGAGAATGAAAAGAAGAGAGGAAGACAAAGAGGGTTATGTGTTGACTTAAGCTATCATTTAGGCTACTTTTGAGCATGCACACACACACACACACACACACACACACACACGTACACACTGAGTTAGAGGGCAGTGATGGGTGGTTAGGCTCTGGCTCCATGCTCAGTTGAACAGAATGGGGCCGTAGAGATGATCCATGGGTGATTATGTCTCTGCTAATGGGAGATCATTTCCCGCTTAGCTGGTCATGCTGGAGATAGATGGGACTTCACACATACACGAGCACACTCTCTCTCACACATACACACGGTCCTCGCTGCAGAGGAGGGAGGGGTGTTTGTCAGGCCTGTTATCCTGGACAGGTAGTGTGAAGGATGGAGAAACAAGGAAAGGGAGGGGACAAGGGACAAAGATCTAGAAGAAAAACACACCAAAAACAGCTTACCAATATAACTGTCGCTTATTCTTCTTTTTCAAATAACCAATCTGTTGCAGCTTGTCTTTTTCTGTGTGCTAACGATAAAATGAGCATGGCACAAGCAAAGTTGTTTCCAAAGGCACCGTATTGCATGATGGAAAATATGTGGAAATCTTTGTTTTAATTGCATGTTAGAAGATCCTACAATTGCACACATACCACACAGTAGAGTGTGTAAGCATTTTGATTTTCAATTTATATCTGTTTTACTGATTATTTAGGTTTTGCATTGTCTGAGTAGGAAACTTGAAGGCTAGGTTAAAAAAGAATGATTGAATTGCCAGAACACAAACATAACTCACTCTCCTGCTCAATTCCCATATAGCATTGTAGATGGTTTTATTCCATATATGACAACAGCTTTTGTTTTATTTGTTTTATTTTTGATATAGTAGTTCCTTATTTAGAATGATTAGTTCTGCCTGATATTTATTAATATTAGGATAGGACAGCAACCAATAGAGTGAGTACTAGTAGTAGAAGGAACCACAATAGCAATATTTGTATGTCATATCCGTTGCCTACACCAGAGGTACATTAGACCATAAGAATTAGAAGTAAATTGTATAATGTACATTATTTTTAAAGACTCTCTTGGAATTTGAAGCACATAGGGTACTTTAGAACTGGCAAACAAACATAATGGCATGTCTCTAAATAGCCTCTTCTGTAAAAACATGCCATACATGGCCATTATTGGACGTTTTGTGGTAAAGTAATTTAGAGGCAAAATATAATCAAATAGGGACAGAAGAAAGAATGTTGGCATTCTTGCAAACTGAGTTGCCTGTTATATGTTAGAGGGCCTTCTCTAGCCATTGAATACATTAAATTTTTTTCTTTAGCTGGCAGTGAATGCATCAAAAGGAAAAGTTTTTATTTAAATGTGCACTTTGTCTTATTGTATTATAAACACTGCACAATGTTAAACACTGGCATTCACTGTGGTTTCCTCTGTGCTCGTCAGAACTTCTCAAGAGTGAAGATGCAGGTCACCATGTCTCTGGCCTCACTGGTGGGCAAGTCATCAGACTTTCAGGAGGAATACTTGCGACGCTCACTCCGCACCATCCTGGCCTACGCAGAGGAGGACACCGAGATGCAGAACACTCAGCTGCCCTCGCAGGTATAAAATGGTGTGCACACACACACAGTTACTGCATTACATTGCTGATATTGAACATATTGTAGCCTCATACTTGCCTCTTGTGTTTGTCTGTATTTTCAGGTGGATGAGCTTCTAAGAAACCTTAACAGTATTTTGTCAGACACAGTGAAGATGAGGGAGTTCCAGGAAGATCCCGAGATGCTCATGGACCTCATGTACAGGTGAGAAACACAAAGCAACATCTGTGGAAGGTTGTGTCCTTGTCTCTCTGTCTTCAGTGTTTGTCTCTTAGTATCTCACTGACTCCCCACTCTTCTCTATTCTCTCTCGTCACCCTGCGGCTTTTCTCTATGTTGCGCTGCTGGTTCCTATTTCTCTGTGGTCTGGGCTGTTTTGCCTCTATTTGGTGCCCTCACTATGGTAACCATGTGGTAGCAGTTTAGTCTTCTGATCTGGCTTTGTGTATATGCAAATGCAAACAGTGTGTGTGTGTGTATGAGTGTGTGTGAGAACACAAAGGGGAAACAGTGATTCAAAGAGAGCATACATCACTTTACCTCAGCATGTTCTTATGTCACCTATATGTGTCATTTATCATGCACCTTTCTGTTTGGGTTTTGGTCCCAGTCACCTGGTGAGCATTTAGCAGCTGCACAGAATGACCAGTTAGCTTTACTCACTTACCTAGACTCACCCCAATGTTTACCTCCAAGCTCCTAAACACACAGGTCATTGATGCACAAGACATTTGGTCTCCAGATGCTTGAATTCATTTGTGAGTATAGTATAGTGACTCACCTGCTTTATAAACAAATTCATTCAGAGTGTTTTAGATTTATTCCCATGTTTTTAGGCTAATGATTATTCATGCATTCCATGAACAAGAAAACATTTTCCATATTTTATTTTTTTGCCCATAAAAGCATTAATCAGCCCAAATACTTTAATCGTTGTCAAACTCACTCTCATGCACACATTTTGTTTTTAGATATTCACTCTCTATATGTAGACATTTATTTATTCCTACACTGTAGGAATAAATTATAGTGGGTGACATCATGGCTTATATGGCACATGGAGTGCAATAGACAATAAAAAGGCCTGAAAAAAGAATTAAACTTGATTTGCATATGTATATTTTAAGAACTGTAAATAATACCATAAAGCAGAGTGGGATAATTCAAATTCTTAGCAAAGATATATTGGCATAAATGTACTCAACACATGCATAATGGCTGCAGCACTTGCACCAACAAACTTGTTCCTAATTAATAGGTTTTTAAAAATTCAAATACCCATATTTGCATCTCTACTACTTATGTGCCGTTCTTAGTCTCTTGGGTTTGCTGCATTTATTGTGTTAAAACAGTTGCCTAAAAATCTCAATGAGACTTTTACTTGGATAATTAAAGAAAAGAAAAGAAGAAAAAAAAACTAATACCCTCCTTCGCCTCCCCTCCTCAGGATAGCAAAGGGCTACCAGACGTCTCCTGACCTCCGTCTGACCTGGCTGCAGAACATGGCAGAGAAGCACAACAACAGGAAGTGTTACACTGAGTCGGCTATGTGTCTGGTCCACGCTGCTGCCCTGGTGGCCGAGTATCTCAGCATGCTGGAAGATCACAAGTACCTGCCCGTTGGCAGCGTCACCTTCCAGGTAGAGAACACAAATACAGATATACACACCAAATTAGCAAGGAACTAATGGTATCCATCCACATCTTCAGACTTAAAACGGAACCATCACAGCCACACAAAATAAGCATTTATAATTTGTTTGTCGTGACTGCTGGTTGTTTTGTTCAACAGTGGCAAACCCTCCTCTGCACAACACACCACATCACATATCTCCCGACGGAATACCTCCAAATTTGGTTGTGTGTGTCCAGAGGGGGGAGCTGTACACTCATAATGTCAACATATAAATATGGTCCCCTGGTAGCACTGCTTACCACAGCTCTTTGAAGTTGAAGGGGGGGAAAAAAGGCAAATGTGCTCCTGTGGGAACATGTGAACAGACTGTTTTCCTGAGCTGAAAACAAACAGTTATACCAGTAACTATGAAGATGCTGTGTCACACACAGGACCTCTGAGGCGCTTAGTATAGGACACTCTAACCTGAAGCCGTCAGCAGGTCATTGATTGGATGGTCATCAAATTAGTTCCATTTCCCACTGTAGGACATCTCCTTTTAAAGTCAGCCATGTGATTGATTATTTGATTAAGAGGGCTTAAATGGTTGATTAGCTGACTGATTTTCTCCTCAGAACATCTCCCCCAACGTGCTGGAGGAATCGGCGGTGTCGGATGACATCCTGTCCCCGGACGAGGACGGGGTGTGTTCGGGACGCTACTTCACTGAGGGCGGCCTTGTGGGATTGCTCGAGCAGGCTGCTGAGCTCTTCAGCAATGTGAGACAATGAAGCTGATATTTATGTTTTATATTGTAGACCACTTATTTTAGTAATGTTTATTGGGATGATTTATTTAAAGCAGGCATTAAAGTGGTGAACAAAATAATCTACCCCCCTTAAAGTAGTTTTACTGAAGTAACTGTCAAGTTAATAGTTAACAGTAACCAGACTTACAGTATGTGGTATACAATTTGGGTACAGCAGATGTTTGCATTGAGTTGTTAATGGTATTTTTAGGGCAGTCACGCCATAGAACTTTTGGTTTTATATTTTTAGTGTTAAATGAAACTTTTTCCTTTTTATGTACTGTATGTGGTCATGCTAACCAGCAGTGATGGCTGTCTCATCAGGGTGGTCTCTATGAGGCAGTGAATGAGGTCTACAAGATCATCATACCAATCCTAGAGGCTCACAGAGATTTCAGAAAACTGGCATCCACTCATGACAAACTACAGAGAGCCTTTGATAACATCCTTCAGAAGGTAATAACAATATGCGATGTATATATATGTATGCTTCTTTTATTAAATCACGGTTAAGGTAGAAATAAGAAAAACATTAACATAAAAAAGGTATTTCCTAAGTACATAGAATTTGTTCCTTTAAAATGACTGGATAACTAAGATCCTTGAAAAAGACAATCAACATTAGAGTATTTTTTTTAATTGTTTACAGGCATAACATAATGAGCAAGAATCTGTTAGCGATGTCATACTGATTAAAGACTAATATAAAATCCTCTTTTTGTTTCCCTCCAGGGCCATAAGCGGATGTTTGGAACCTATTTCCGGGTGGGTTTTTATGGGGCCAAGTTCGGCGACCTTGACGAATGGGAATTCATTTACAAGGAGCCAGGGATCACACATCTCCCTGAGATATCACACAGGCTGGAGGTATGAGAGAGGAGAGAGCTTGTGTATGTGCACTAATATGTTGTGAATTAATGTGTGTGGAGAGAAAGGGGAAGATGGTTCCTGGCTGGACTAGTGGAATCTGATAATGACTGAGAGACTTTGAGTGAACAGAATGACTGAGGGCAAGACTCACAATCATCCATCTGCTTTTAGTGAATTTATAGGGAGCTTGGAAACCTTGGAATTCATTTACATGCTTAAAAAGAGAAATCGTGTCATGAAGAGCAATACAATGTCAGCCTCACTCTTGAATAAAATAAGTCAGTGAAACAGTTGCTAAGTGAAATTCAAATTATTTCATGCTTTCAAGGGTTCTTTTCAACATTTTATTTTCACATGAATAGCCTTGAATGGTAATGAAATCTGCATTATATTTGCAGAAAAGTCATGATAGACTATATTATGAGCAATACTGTATACTAACTACACAATTTCCCCTACTCCTAGAACTTCTACAGTCAGTGTTTTGGAGAGGAAACACTGGTGATGATCAAGGACTCTACACCAGTGAACAGAAAACAACTCGACCCCAACAAGGTAGATGATGTAAACTACTGATTGCTGCTACATGGCTGTACTGTAATTAAAACATTTAATGACCCCACTGGTTGAATTTCATCTTAATTAGTAGGTATGAAGCAAAAATATGGATTATGATACTATAGATAGCAGTGGAAATATTAATATATGGCTTTACTATGTGAAGTTAGAGATTACAGCACTCACAAAATATGCAAATCAATTGTATTCACATTAACAGGCAGTGTGTAGACACAAATTTAGATTTATGCAGAAACAAACATCTGTAATGCATTAAAAAAGACCTGACTGTGTGAGGTGCATTTTCGATTTTTCTGTCTGCCACTTTGGAAAACTGTCAGTAAACAGTAAACTCCACGACTCCTCTCCAGGCTTACATCCAGATCACTTATGTGGAGCCCTTCTTTGACGACTATGAGATGAAAGACCGGCTAACAAACTTTGAGAAGAACTTCAACCTGCGGCGCTTCATGTACACCACGCCCTTCACCAAGAGCGGACGGCCGCGGGGGGAACTCAACGAGCAGTACAAGAGGAAGACCATCCTCACTACCATGCATGCCTTCCCCTACGTCAAGACTCGCATCAATGTCATCCAGAAAGAGGAGGTATGTGCCAAATTCATGGTGTAGAACATCCAGCAGCTTTGAGGACAGTTTTGCCACATTTTTATGATTGCAGCAATACATTTGTACAATATTACCTCTTTTTTTTGTTTCCAGTTTGACCTGACTCCTATTGAGGTGGCCATAGAAGACATGCAGAAGAAGACTAGAGAGCTAGCAGTTGCTACACACAGAGAACAGCCTGATGCTAAGATGTTACAGATGCTGCTACAAGGCTCTGTGGGAGCCACTGTTAACCAGGTACGAGAACTGCAGATTTTTTTCTGAATTAAAGCAATGCTTCTAGTTTACACTACTGCCTGTCTGCTCCTATTATAGCTGAAATGATCACTTACTTCATGTTTAACCAAATGGTGGCTGTTCTCCCAAAATGATTGCGCTTTGTGTCAAACATGGGCCCTTTTGTCCCCCTGAGTGTTCCTTCTTAATGTGCAGGGGAAAATAAACCAGAATAATTTACCTCTATTTATCTTATCACATTTACAGTTTCCATTGTAGTCACAGAGTGCAGGTGGGAGACATGACAGTGATCACACATCAAAGCCTTCACCCTATCCATAACCCTAATCCTTCCTTTGCTTTTCCCCTGATTTAGTTAAAACGTCAATTCATGGCCCCTCTTCCTTTCATGTCTCTGCTGCACGGCACGCTGAACCGGAGGTCTCTTTGATCTGATAGCTTCCAGGTCCTGCCAGCATGGTGAATGTTGGAGTAATGATGAAGCTAGCTACAGCCGCTCCGATCCCTCCCCCCATGCTTTATCTTCCAACGTCTAATCTGACAGGTCCCTTGCTCCGACCTGATGGTTGTATACATAACGCTAATGCTCAGCAGCTCCGTAAACATATAACTCTTGACTGTAATCAGCACAGGAGGCTGGGTTTCTGTGTGTGGGTCCGTAGCTCAGAACAAGGACTGAGGCCCAAGCCCAATGCGTTTATGATGCTAATCAGAGCTGTTTAACTGTGCCTGTCGTGATGCAGGCGCTGTGCGAGCGTGCTGTGGTTTTATGATGAATATAAGTTAGGATAACAAGATCTCATACTGGGCAAATGGGAGCCAAATGGTGGGTGTATGCGGGGTTAGCGGTGACATTAGCCATGCAGGAGGGTAATCATGGCTCCCTCTCTGATCTGATATCTTCCTCATGTTCTAGTTCAGCATCTCGGCCCATAGCTGCATTAGCCATTCAGTTAAGAAGTCATTTCCCCCTGTCTGAATGAGGGGTATTCTCATCCCCCCTTTGTTCATATGCTCTCAAATGCTTCCTCTCTTACCTCCTCTCTTTCCTTCCTCCGCTCTGTTTTTGCTTTCTTTTCTTTGTCTCTCTAACTCTCTCCGCCCGTCCTCCTCCGTTGTAGGGCCCATTGGAGGTGGCCCAGGTCTTCCTGAATGAGATCCCAGCGGACCCAAAGCTCTTCCGTCACCACAATAAACTGCGCCTGTGTTTCAAAGAGTTTATAATGAGGTAAGCTACGATCAAAGAAACACCACCTAGACTACGCACTGCACCAAAGCCATGCAAAAATTAGGAAAAACACCACAGCTGTCCCAAAAACAACAAGAAATTTCATTTTGAGCCATAAACCTAAAGTAGTTCACCAACTATTTTACTTGAATTTGCATTTGTGCTTCTTTTTATTGTTCCCAATGGCTGACACTGGCTCAGTAGGTATAGAACAATACTTCAAAGAGAATTCTGAGGAGAAAATTCTGTACCTTTTGTGAGACTCGACTTGGAAGGAGTGAAAGTCTTCTCCTGGATGCTCTATGTATACACCATACTGGTGTCAGTGTAGGAAGATAAAAGAGCCCCGTAGACAACTGTGACTGATGGAGACTGATATCCTGTTGTTTAAGTAGAATGTCAGTCAAGATGCAGAGATGGAAGTGATAATCTTCACAAAATTGCATACCAAGTAAGAAGAATGTGAAATAATATAAGCCATTGTGACTATTTTTTCATTTTCCATATGACAGTTGAAGATATTTTTCTTCCTAAAATTACTAAGCACTTTTTCTTCTGTAATTGCAAAGGTTTATTGTTCCCAAGAGTTTCATTATATTTTGAATATTCGGAACATAATTTAAACCACCCTACCCACAGCAGTGAGTCTGAGGATATGGTGATTTTTTTGCAGGAGACGTGTGTCATTTGCACACCGTGTGTGTGTGTATGTGTGTGCTTTCATCTCGTGGGTGTGTGCCATTTGCCTCCAAAGGTTTTCATTTTCCAACCCTCATGTCACATTCCAGCTGCCTTGATTGCTACAAGCAGGTTGGCAAATATTTACTGTAATTTCTGAAAGGTTTATTTTCTATCCTAAATCCAAGCAAGCTGGCACTGGACCCTTTGTATGCCAATCTTCTTGACACTGGCATCCCAAAAAGTCCTCTCAAGAAAAGACTGTTTGCAAAGTTGCTCAGCTTTTTCCCCACTGAATGAAATCTCTCCCGTTACAAAAGTATGTCTCCTTCAGACATCAGGTCTCACATCCAAACATGCCATCTGCTGTGCAACACATTACTGTAAATACTGCTTCTAAGGGCCGGCCACACCGAGAACAATAACTATAAATACATAGTTTTAAAAATGGTTCTACTTCAAATGGATGGATTGATTCCTCACCACAACTATAACGACAATGACAGTGGTGAACTATATTGTTGGGATCATTTTCAGAGTGATTTGATGAACAATATTGTGGTAGACAACTTATTAAAGGCTTATATAACGTAATTTTAGACTGCATATTACACATTAAAAACAACATTTTGCGTGAGACATAAAATGGCCAAATGGCCTTTGCTGCTGGTTTGGTCTCTGAAGTTTGTTTGCTTGTTATTGTTATAGTTATTATTCTTGGTGTGGACAGCCTTTGATTCTGGTTTTATATTGTCATGATACAATTTCACCTAAAATATACTATAAAATTATTGCTTAGCCCTAGTTCAGGGGCAGATACAGTTCACATAATTTCGAAAAAAGTTATTTGGAGTCCCAGAAAATGTTTGTAATTCAGGTATAAAAGGACTTTATTCAAGTGAATGATGAAAGAATTAAAACTTCAGTAGATTACAGTCTGGTTCAGACTGTCTGGTTCGTAAACAAACTGTGAAAAATATCGGCAACAAACATCTCTCCAAGAAAACTGTCTCTCTTGAAAAATCAAAGTCAGTACATTTGTTCTGCTAAATTGGTCACAAAAGTTAATGCCACTCAGTCTCTTTTGTAATAATGACATTTCCAAAACATTTTGTCTTTGAGATAGAAGCTCGAAAAGAGGAATGTTTAGAGGGGTTGTTTACCAGATTCTGACAGTTCACAAGCTGTGGCATTGCTGCCGTCTAGTCCCACGTCCCCCTGCTTGGCCAGAGTCTGGATAATCTACCTCCAGTAACTGACAAAGATGACCATAGGCTGTTGTTTTTTAAGTTAGCTCTGGAAACCTGTGAGATAATAATACACTCAAAAAGACATGCATATTTTCTTGCTAAAGAATACACTCTCATTTAGACAGTTTGAAATATTGTAGATACTAGTAGAATTAATTTTAAAAATTTCAAACCAAGCAGTCAGATAGAGAGCTAAATATCAGTGTATGTTTGTATGGCTTGGAAAATCCTTCACTCTTGTGAGCGGTCCTTAATGCTCATTGCCCTGAGTATTTACTGTATACTGTTACACAACATTGCAGTTTCCATATTACTCTCATTAAAATCTAAGAGATAAACTCAGACATGTGTTAGCAATCACCCCAGTCTCTCTGATTTCCTGCAGACTGCTCTGTATGTTGGCCATTATACATGTCATGATAAAGGACTGCGGGGAGACCCCATACCTGCCCCCTGCTCTTTGTTTAGCTCGGATCTTGTGGTGCTCTCTTTTACCATAAGGCATTTTCCTTTTTATTTCTTAGACGTTTGTGATTTGGAGTTATACCTCTGCCTCTCCTTTTTAACTGTGTATCATAGCAGTCTTGTTGGTCATTTACAGTTTAGCTCAAATTCTAGCAGAGGTACTTGGAAAGATATAATAGGTATATAGGAGTTTCTTACAGTCAAGTACATTGTTAACTAATTTAGACTTCTTGTATGCAAAGGAGTCTAATTTATGTCAAGTAGTTACAGGATGTTGTTAGCATGAAACAGTGCAGTGCATTTCTGAAGGCCTGGGGATTTAGAGGGGATTACTGCAAGATTGGTTTGCATGGAATCATTGTTGAAGCTCTTAGTTCTTAGGTTTGAGGTTATTGTATTAAAAAGGTCAAGGTGTACATTCAACTTGTCTTGTCTTTTTTTTTTCCTTCTCTTGTCTGTAGGTGTGGTGAAGCAGTTGAGAAGAATAAGCACCTGATCACATTGGACCAGAAAGAGTACCAGCAGGAGCTGAAGAAAAACTACAACCGCCTAAGAGAGAGCCTCAGGCCTATGCTGGAGAGGAAGATTCCCGAGCTCTATAAACCCATCATCAGGCCCCGGCTGGAGAAAAGGTAAACAGACCCACCAAGTCAAACAGCCAATACTGCTTTGACAAGAGAGAGTGAGGTGAAAAAAGACACATATCATTGATCTTTTCATCACCCGGTATGATTGCTGAAGCCAAAGGAAAGTGAGAACAAATGGAATAGAGGCAGAGATCCTTTCACACTGTCTGTGTCATCTTTACAAATATTGATAGCTGAACCTGAGCCACAGTACACAGATTGAGTGCCACGGCCAAATTGCACTCATGTATTACTAAAGACTGATTGCTCACTAAATGCTTTTATGATCGACCATGATAATCTTGATAAATCTTGGAGCAGTGCTGAGGGATGAGCATGTATTTCAAAAGGATACTCATCCCCTCTGGAATGTGAAGAAGGCTCTCAGGATCAGTTGTATTTATGATAGAATGAACTCAGATGTGGACGGTTATTAACACCAGAAAAGCATATATAAAAAATATCAGTATAATAAAAAGATATAGCCCTGTTTATTCCGAGTTATTGAGGTCAATGCCAATATTGATACTTGAGAGAAATTAGAAAATGTATTGACACATATTTATATATACACAGATACACCTGCAATATGCTAATGTTAGCTAGTATAATGGCTGCCAATGTATCTGCCTAATAAAAAAAGCATATACAATCCAAGTTGCAATAACCTTAATATTGTACACTAATTACTCATGCATGATCATGTCTAACACCTGGGCCCGTTACGCTTGTTTGTCTCCCCCCTTTCCCTCTCACAGGGATTCCTTCAAACGTCTAAGTTTCCGCAGAGCTCCGGAGGAAAACTCCTGAGATGCCACAGCTCGTCTCAGAGAGAGAGAGTTAGAGAGTGCTACGGAGAGGAAGGGGAGGCTGTCACACAATCAAGAGAGGAAAAAAGAGAAGATAAGATGAAAAAGGAGAAATAGGAGGAAAAGAAATGCTGATGATACCCTTGCACTCCTCTGTGCTGGAGCAGCGTATTGTGTCCACAATGAAAGACTCTCTAACAGTCCATCAGTGTTGATTAATGTCTGATGTATGTCCAGTTTTATCATTTCATGGTTGTTTGTTACAGGAGGCAAAAGGAGAGTGAGCACATACAAATAGGGAAGTGGGAATCTCAAGCAAAGTGTAGCTTATTGAGCATTTCACTGTAAAATCTTCAGATGCTTTGGCTCTGTTGATTTTTGACCTTCTTTTTTTTTGTAAACTGCAAGTCCTAATAATGCTGCAAACATTTCCTCTGGGTTGGTATAGAAGCAGACTAGAGTTCCTCTCTGAGTTCCTTGCTGGCCCAGGGCCTGTATGTGTGCCAATAATCCCTGTGTCCTGTGTGTATGTGTATGTAAATGTGTGAATGGATGTGTGTTTATTTAGATAATGTTTGGAGTGGGAGATTTTGGTGCCATACTGAAGTCGCTTTGTACTCAGTGAAGATAAATGATTCTGCTATGTGCTAATGGGCCTTTGAAATTCTACTCTGGGCGTCTTTTGCGTGACATGTGCCAGTTAGAGCAGTAAGAGTATGGATGGATTTGTGCACTGGAAAAAGAGAGACAATTTCCTGTGTTAACTCTCAATGCTATTCTTGTTTTATTATTGTTGGGCATACATGGCCATGTAGCTGATAGAACAGTTTAACTTATTAAGGGTTTCACAGGAGGCAGATAGACCTATCCGATGTTCTAAATCCACATTTTGTATATAGTAGAGGTATTACATCAGATTGCTACCAAGATGTTTACAAAGGTATGAAAAACTATTTTGCATTTTATTTTATGGAAATGTATTTTTAGATGAAAAATAGCAATAATATTAAAAATGGAATATTATTGAGTAGGCAAGATTCAATGACAGAGTGTACTGTAACAATCTCGGTGTATGTTCTAGTAGTTTCAGTACCTGTTTGTAAATAGACCACTTCCTACGATACACACAGTGCCAAATTTAGTTCATTCCTTATATTTACTTAGGAACTGAGATACTTAACTAGAAAAGCAATATTTTGAAAAGTTACTCCACACAACTGTGCTTTGCAGTGTGAATTATGTTTACTCCATATTTCAGAATACATTCCAGAGGAGAAATTTACTACTGCTTTGCAGTATTGAATAGTGACAGCCTGATTTTATTTGACATCCATGAAACCGCTCATTTTATTGGTGTTATGTTGCAGCTCATACTGTATTTCAGTAATTTAAATGTGCCTGGTGTTTCAAAAGTGGGTATACATTTTGATACTCATTATAAATACTCATTTGAATATTTCTCACTCTGTTTCCAGGTACATCTCTTATTTATGAACTGTTGAATGATTTTAAAATGGCTAAATAAGATGAAAAGGTTATACATTGTGCATATTAACTGTGAGAATTAACATGCATACCCATTTTTAAAACATGCAATATATTGCTGAAAGTTGATGTTATATATATATATATTGGTGGCATTCAACCACTGGAGACTGCATTTAGTTTCTTTATCAGTTGTTTGTATGTCCATACCTGTTGTGTTTTATTAAATGTGGAATTTTAACTTGTCATGCATACAATGCTGTTGAAGCACCTGAATAAAACTTAATATATGCACATGTGTCACAACTGTGTTTAATAATTTAATAATTAATAATAATTTAAACTTCTTTTTTTTTTAAGTGGCCTTTGAAAAAGGTGTTATTATTATTAATATATTTCATTTAACTACATTCATTTTATTTGTGATTTTCACCACAGTGACAGTCAGATTACAGATTAATAAAAATGTATCCGGTAAATATCTACTAATGTTTTTTTTTTACCACCATACATCTTTTATAAACTGAGTATATAAACTACAAAGCGAGTATAAAAGGCGGGAAAACAACGGGGTAAAAACTACAATCTGCTGCTGTCGCGTCCGTGTGACGCCATCACTGACGCGACATCGACGTGACGGATACAGGTCAGTTGATTACATTCACAACGACGGAGAACTTGTGATTCCCAGCGGTTTCTTCGACGGCCGCTTTTACACGCTGTTAAATATACTGTTAGCTACAGTGAAGATTGAGATTTCTGGAGGCACCGCTGCTCTAGCTTTGGGCGTTGAGTTTTGAGTGACAGAGAGCAGACTTGTGCTGTAAAGTTAGCTCTGAACTCCCTCATACTACTCTCAGTTAGCTAGCTCCATACCACCGTAAAGTTTCAAACTCCACCGTCAATTCAAGGGTTTTGTAACACGACAATGTGTGTGTTACTGAGCTGTCAGGTCCTCTCATACGACCTCAGTTTGTGTAACGCCATATGCGTGCCAATGTACTAAACCACTACTCTGAAGTATATCTGCTTTTGCTCTGCAGACTGTTGTATGAAACATGAAAGATGAAATGAGGCGATGGGAACAGTAACGTTACCTTCTTTCTGGTCTGACATGCATGAGAGGCAAGCTCTTACCTGTTTTGCCTGCAAGGACACTGAATGCGCCCTGACCTGTCGCAGTTTAAACTTTCACAATGATCTTTTAGTCTTTAACACCTTTTATCTATTTAATCTGTCCTCCACTAAGCCCATAGCAACCCATTTCCAGTCTATAGTGATAGAAATACAGTGAATATAAGCACTAGTGAGCACTGAAAGTTACTATAACTTACTCACTCCAAGAGCTGAGTAGTCATAGGTCAGAGATGGATGTTTTTAGCCAACCTCTAAACAGTAATGGCAGATATGATGGCTTTCTTGCCCTTTCCTGTTGCTGAAGATATTATCCTCTGTTTTTGTGTGCTCAGATTTTATGAATATACTCCTGCACTGCATAACCTCTGAGGATTTCCTGCTGTAAATGGTAATTGCGCCCCTGTCTTGCCAAGCCTGCTTTATGCCCAGCAGGCTAAATGGAAGGATTGTGACAGCAAAAAAAACTCCCATATACAGAGGGAGAGCTCTAATATAGGCTACTACAGACAGTTAGGTGTTCCTGGCGATGTGCTGAGGTGTTATGCTATTACCGCTTTATTAACAAAGATCAAAATTGGATCATGAAACTGTTTTCCTGTGTGGAATGTGTGAACAGATGGATTTTGACACTGACGTTTAAGTTGAGCATACAGACCCTGACAGATTGGCTTCATCGCAGTTCACTGGCAGAACACTTTATTCACAGGCTAAAATAAGTACCTCAGCCCACAGGAAGCTAGAATAACAACTATTAGTTTAGTCTGAAACTTCCATAAACACACACTCAGTCAATTATCTTACGATAAATAAAAAAAAGTTTCTAACTTGGGAAAAAAAAACCCCATAAATGAAGCATTATTTTTGCTCTTGCCCCCTAGGTTTAGCAGCTCAACTTTGATGCCATTTGTGTGACATGGAGCCGGATGGGGACACGGATGACCTTCCACTCCGAGCCAATACTAACCACATACTTGTCAGACATTATGTACTGGACCTGACTGTTCATTTTGACAGGAAGGTAATCAGCGGTAGTGCCATTTTGTTCCTGGAACCTTGCTCTGGAGCGGGGAGTGACGCTGGCGCTGGTGAGGGAGCTGGGACTGTAGAGGCTGGAGGGAGTCAGGATGCGTGTGTGTGTAGATTTCGTGGTGTGGATACAGTGGAGGATGGTACAAAAGGCCTTGGGCAGACTGCAGCTGAAAATGAAAATATTCAGTCTTCACATTTGTGGGAAACCACCAGCGACAGCGATTTCACCCTAGTGCTGGACTGCTGTGACCTTGATGTGTCTAAGGTCGAAGAGGTGCACACAACCTCTGTGTCAGCCATGTCTAGCCTCGAACCAGAGGTTGTATCTGAGTGGTCAGGGGGCCGTTCAGAGGACTCACAAGCAGCCTTTGTTCAGAGCCTTATCTCCATGCCCTCTAGCCGATGGAGACACAAGCACCAGCTCTTTATGCTCTGTAGTCGTGCCCCTGGTGCCCAGTATGGCAACTCACTGCATTTTCATAGAGACCGATGGAGTCTGCAGGTGAGGAAGAAGGGGGTCGCATCACCTCAGGAGTTCCCTCGCGCCGTCAGGATCTGCTATGAGACGAGGCCAATGGGAGGCTCTGTGAGGTGGACCAAAGACCAGGACAACAGGTTTGCTTCAAGATGCAAATCATTCAAATTCCCTATTCCATTAAACAGTGGTTATTCAAAGTATGATTAGACCCCCCCCCCCC